GGAAAAGTTTTAGCACCCCATTGTAAAACCTGCCCCCAAATCTCAAAATTTCATTATTTTGTTCCCTTGCCCCTACAATCTATATTTATACCTTTTGTGCCCTTGAGATCTTTAAAAAAAATGCCTAACTCTGCAGTATGATGCGTAACCTTGTTGCCATATTTATTTTCTGACTTCAGACTTCAATAAATTTCTACTCTAATACCTGACAGAGATGGGGGCCATATGTATGAACAATAAGAAATGATTTCTTCATCTATTATTGACCCCTTACCTTTCACCCAATTTTAAAATTAAATTTACTGAATGATTTTGAAGTTTTCTAGATTATTGAAAAGAACTTTATGGGTACAAGAAATGGGGCAAAAACAGTTGGATTAAGCAAGATGCAAGTAACAATGAACAAGACCGGGTCACTGGATGGTATTTCAGCACACTGGTGGACATGCAACCTAATACCTGCAACCTGTGTCACATTTATTTATATAGTTTTACACTGTACTGGAAAAACAATGTCAAGGAACTTGTAGAGATTCAGAATGCACACTTCATGGTTTATTCAATCACCAGCATGCATGAATCATTTTATGTTATGAATTAACTTTTTTTTAAATTATTCTCACTTTATAGATAAAATTATATCAATTTTTAGTATCATAAATGAATATATAGTAGCTTTTGATTAATTAAACAAGTTATAATAATATATCAGCAAATAATGACTGGTCTCTCTGAAATCCATATAGAAAGGTTCAAATTTGACTTCCACTACCACTACTTGATCTGGCAGTTGCATCTGATTGTTTGATTGGATAAATGAAACTTATCTGGTTAATAGTTAATGATAGCAATAGCAGTAGTGGAAGTCAAATCTGATCTCTCTATTATTTTTTGTAATAGTCACGTCAATTCAGGGTTGCCCATGCAACTTGGTTAGCACAGCTAGCTCTTCAAGTTGGAGGTCCAATTCTTAGGATTCTGCAAATTAATTCTAGAAAACTGGCTTTGGTTTGGGCTAAGCAAGAATCATCACACTGTTTATCATGATGATTTGGTTGTTTAACAGTTAAAGTCCAGGCTGCATGTTTTTTTATCCTGCATATATGGCAGATGGGACAGTCTGGTTTCGAAGTGTTTATGTGGGGAATTAATATTAATCAGGACTGGCTTCTGAGTGAAGGTCTTGCCTGCTTTATGTGAGAGCAGACTCTGTGCGAGATTCCAATTGCTACACAGCATGATCTCAGTGCTCTTCCTCTGAAACAATGCTTGTTTGCGATATCATCCAGCAAGTGCAAAAATGCACTACCACGGTCAAGGATCATTTGGCATGTTCATCGACTATGTTAACCCATTGAGTGGCGCCATGTACTCTCCACCTGACGAGTAAAATTGTCTGGTGTTAGGCATAGTAAACTAACAAAGTAGGGTGCATTGGGCCATTCCATTTAATGTATACACCCCCCTATGGACGAGTTCAATAAAATTTGAACCCCTAAGAAGAAAAAAATCAATGTGCCGACACCCCCCCCCCAGAAATTAAGAAATTTTTGCCTTATCCCTCAGAAAAAATGCAAAGATCAAAGGATGCTGATGCACACAACCCCTCAGAAATGGCTTTTTCAATCCCCTCAGAAATTCTAGTCCATAGGGGGGGGTGGGTGTATATCAAATGGATGGCCCATTGCCACTTAAAGGGTTAAAAACGTAAATACCACAGCACAACACTTGTACATATACATATACAAGTAATACAACAGCAATCCTTTTATATATTTAATAGTCATATTTACATATTGGTGAAATGTCAATGTCCATATATTAGGGATGTCCATTGTCCATGAACTTGTCCCAAGTTTGAAGCTAATGTATTCATTTCTTTTGTATAAGTTGTCCCTCTACAAACCAACTTTTAGTCATTATACAAGAGTTGAATTTGCATTCATTTGCTTCGCAAGTCGCAACAAACTGAACAAAGTACTAAACCATAAACCTGTGCAATGATCGAGCGTCTTCAGCGACATATCCAAGTCTTTTAAACGTCGCATACGAACAAATCTCACTGAGTTTTTTCCACAAAAAGTATTGATCCATTTGATCGATCGCCGTACTTTGAGAAAAGTTTGAAATGCAAAATTCACAGGGAAGATTGAAGAATTTCGTACTAAAAAACTAAAAACTGTTGGTCGTCGAATTTCACCTCTATAATTCACCCCCCGGATCAGAAAAGTAACAATTACGTAATGTTCGAGTCACGTGACCAGCGTTTGCCAGGGCTACGCCGCCGCCTTCAATTCGCGGCTAGCACTGGGTACGAGGTTATGGTACATATAGATCGTATATAATTTATATATATATATATATATATATATATATATATATATATATATATATATATATATATATATATATATATATATATATATATATATATAGCTATCAACCAGTACCCCGAAAGTGATAAGTAATAAAGGCAAATCCGAATAATATATAGAATGCACATATCTATCTGACAGTGTATATATATATTTTTACAATCCAGGATCTTTCTCCTGGGAACGAGGTTGCTCATAACAATGTGAGGACCCTCTAATGTGAACATTACCCAAATTTCGAATGTTTCGAATTTTTCTAAACATAAACTCTATTTCATAATCATTTAGAAGCATAGCGAACCAAAATGGTGTTAAATATTCAGACAGTACATCATATTTTAAAAAATACAGCAGTTCAAAATGTAAACAAACCGTTTGTTTACATTACGGACTTGACTT